AATTTAGTATATCATGAACTTAGTTTCCTTTTCAATATCAAATTTGTTTAATTTCTTTTTCACCAACCCTGAAGCGCACATGTTACTAAGTTTAGATTACAAAATTACAAAATTGAATAATATTTCAATCTTAATATTCCTTTGAAATCGTTTTGAACAGATTGTTTTATCTAACATTTGGTGCTCTATGGCATTTCGATTTTCATGAACAAAGCTATACAAAAGCTTTCCAAACCCATTAGCTCACCTATTACATTGGCATATTTGCTTAAGCTATGGCATTAGAGCTGCCTAATAACATTCTATATAAGCTATATGTTGGTATTCAATTTACGTAAGCTTTCTAGACATATGAATAATAAATATTATTGAAAAGCCTGCTGAAGAGCTTCACTAATGTTATAGTAATGTTATAGCTATGTTACACAGTTAACAGCATTCTCTATTAAGCTGTTCTCTTTTCTTATAAATCTATTTGACAGGACTTATTCAGTCATTCATTCTCTATTCCGTAGATATGCTTTGTCTTCTGTTTCATTTTAACTAGTCTGCATAGTCCCCACTGAGCGTGTGTTTTAATGATATAATAGAGTGTCTTACTATGATTGCTGATGTTTTTTCGCTTGTGCTCAAGAAATTCAAGTTCAATTCTATTCAAGCCAAGCTCTGGACAATGATTTAGCAGAAAGAGAGCGAACAGAAACAGAGCAGGACAATTGGGAAGGTATAGGGATAGAGAGAGAGAGAGAGAGAGAGAGGGAGAGTGATAGAGCGAGACAAAGTCTGTGGCGCACAATTGTTCGCTGAGGAAGCAAGCGCAAAGTAGTGGGAGAAATTACCGCTCATGTCGGGTCCACTGATTTCGGTGAAGATCTTATTGTACGATGGCCTTCGTGTCAGATTGCTGCGATGATGCTGCGAGTCATCGTCCGATAAACTGTCGTCGCTATCCTCCGGATGCTGGGTAGTCGGTTCGGGTTTGATCTTACATTGAAAATTTGGAGGGATCTGAAAGGAATGATGTAGAGCTAATTAATACATTCGAGACTGACTCTGTGTGTGTGTGTGTGTGTGGGAGTGAATTGCATATGTGTGTGCGTGTGTGTGTGTGTGTTTTAATGTCTGCTTTACTTTAGCAACTGCTACGCACTTTGTTACGCACTTGCACTGCGTTGCTCGTGGTCGTATGGATGACCGTCGTGTTGGCCGGCTTTGTCATATAGACGACGCTGGTGCCGCCTTTGTGTATCGCCGATGCGGCGACCAGCGCCTGCTGTTGTTGTTGTTGTTGTTGCTGTTGCTGCTGCTGTTGCTGTTGCTGCTGTTGCTGTTGTTGCTGCTGCTGCTGCTGTTGTTGTTGTTGTGTGCCGGCAGCGGTCTGTATGACACCCGAATGATTGGCCGCCTGTATCACGGATTGCACCTGCACGAATCGAAAACACAATTAGCCATCATGGATTGAGATGAAATTGAGTCAAGTTAATGACGGAGCAGAGCATGAGAGGCCACACTGCGCATTCCATTAGCAAGCTATCGGCTGGGGTTAAATCCCCATTACTTAATTGCTCTCGTGTGTGTGTGTTTAAATAAATGATTAGTATCGATATTGTCAGCTGGCCCGGGTTCGAGCCAAGTTCAAATAGATTCCCATATCAAATTTTCAACAGCGAGCGAGATAGAGAGACAAACAAACAAACAAAAAAAACCTTTACGAATGCGCAACATTTAAATACGAGTTTGTGACTCATAAAACTTTATAAGCGAACACCCATCTCGAGCTGCCAGGCGTCGTTGCTTTTCGCCCGATCTAATTATCTTCAGTTAATGAATAATTTTGATGGGAGCCTAGCATTAAGCCTAAATATAAACGAAAAGGTGTGACTAGGCGAAACCCGGGGCGTTTATCGGTCGGAACAGCCCCACTGTTCAAAACTTCTTCTTCTTTCTACTTGTATACGTTTCATGATACGCTTTGAAGTACTGGAATGTTATAGGCTTTATAAGCGTTTTAAGCTATCATAACTAATACAAATTTAATAACTCACTGGTACTTAATATTCTAATCCATTCTATTTGCCTTAATTCTCATGCGTTTCAAGCGTCTCATGCGTTTTACTAAGTGTTGTCAAGTCAAGAAATTAGTAAAAATCTTTTTAGATACTTTGATTCCATATATATATTGGAATAGCAACAATTCTATAGGCCTTTCATGTGTTTGAAGCGTGTCATGCGTCTTACTAGTGCTAAGAAATTAGCAATACGCTTCTAGTTACTTTCATTCTGCATTGGAATAGCAACAATTCTCTTCATGCATTTCTTGATTCATTGAACTAGTTTTTAAGTACATCTACAATTCGGCTTCAACTGATTCGATTGTCGAGTCTTATGTGATTCGCTGTTGCATGTTCCAGCCTTCTGAAGTGGAGAAGGGGCAAAACTCTGAAGCTCTAGCTTCAATGGGTATTGAATTCAATATGAAATATGAATCCATAAAAGTTCTTAAGTTTCTTTAGCCGATTATCAAGTAATATATGACTATATTATAAATAATTGTCAAGTTTATAATGCTAATATATACTAATACTAACTGCTTCTAAAATTCTATCAATAATACAATCGATAATAATTATAGTAATTATTTACTATATAGATATTTCATCTATTAAAACTCCTATGTCTATAAGCTTATATACATAGTATATAAAAGAATGTATATTTTTAAATCTGTCTTATATGTATATAGATATATACTCTATATATATGTATTCTCATTCCTCTGCCAACGATCTCACATATAGACAATATATGGCACTATATGCTATATATTCCGATGCTATAGATCTCCCATTTGTATAGCCTATATACACACTATATGCTCTATATATATTCCGACTCCTTTTCGCACTGTAGTGCATTTTGCTTGATGGTTTGCGCATTGGGCCCATGGTGCGCGAGGAGGGTTGGTTGGAGGCTGGTGCGGAGCACGACTGGAGCGGGACTCACCTGCAGGCCGTGCTGCACGAGCGTCTGCATCGGGTACGGGATATTGCAGTTGGCGGTCGTTGTCAGCACGGATGCCGCGCCGCTGGCGTTGTTTGTGTTGGCCGTCGCTGGAACGCCGCTCGTTGTACTTTGCTGGTTTTGTTGTGTTTGCTGCTGCTGCTGCTGCTGCTGCTGCTGTTGGCCGCCTGTTGCTGCCACTGCTGCTGCTGCGGCGGCGGCAGCGGCGGCGACGGCCGCTGCTGATGTGACATCGTTGACGTCGTTCACATTACCGCTGGAGGCCGAGTTGCCGTTCTCCTCGACGATGCTGTCCATTTTAGCGATTTTCAGCAGCACCGTTACGCTCTCCGACAAGTGCTTCAGTTTGGCGTCTTTTCCGTTTCAATTTTGCCAGTTTGAAGTTGATGGATGCTGGACGACGACTGCACAATCCAGGATCAAATGAAGGCAGGCGCGCGGACGGTCGGACGGGTGGACGGACGGCCGTTCGGTCGGTTGCCAAAGCAATGAAAAAGATGGGCCGCGCGCGCACACACACACACGCAGTAGAAAGACGGGAACAGCGTAGAAAAAAAACACAGAAATAGAAAGAGAGAAATAGAGAGGGAGAAAAAGAGAGAACAAGAGAGGGAGAGAGAGAGAGAGATGTGCACAAAATTGGTTTCATTGGTTTTTGGTTACAATATTGCTTGATTGGTAATTGCTAATTGTTAATTGTTCGTTCCAACAACAACAAAAACAGAAACAAACAAACAAACACACACACACACACGCACCAACACACGTTGACTGTCACTGTCACTGCTGTTGCTGCTGCGGCTGCTGCCTTTACAACTGTTGTTTGGTTTGTTTTGTTTGCTTGCTACAAAAATGACGACGACGATGACAACGACAAAACAACAACACTAACAGCAACGGCCATACTGTCTCAACTGTTGTGTGTATTTTTATGAAATGACGTCATGACGACGTTGTGTTATAGGCAAACAAAACAACAACAAAATGAAGAAAACAACAAAAACAAAAAACGCAAACTTACTTTCTGATGACATCACTAAAACGTTGCTGCTCCTCTTGTTGCTGTTGTTGTTGTTTTTGCTGTTGCTGTTTCTGTTTCACTTCTCGCTGCGCGCGCTGGTGTTTGTGTGGGTCTATATATATAAATATACTTATATATATATATATATATATATATATATATATATATATATATTTATATGTGTGCGTGCATGTGTATATATGTAACTGTAACTGTGACTGTGTGTGATTGTGCCTGTGTCGCGTTGCGCGCTGTGCTGGCAACTTGTTGAAAAATTCAACTGTACGCACGCCACACACTCTACGAGCAGAACAGACCGCTAGCTCCGCTTGCCTTGCGCTGCTTCTACGTAGCGGATTGCTGCTGATGCATGGCTAATGGCAGCGGGATTATGTTGCTCCTAAATTCTTCGCACAGGCGAAATGATTTGTTATTGGATTTGATTGGGTCGGACGGTGACAGCGACGGCGACGGCAGGCAAAACACTTTTCACACAGTTGGCAGCACGCGCGCTCTGCACACCAAAAATTTTTCTGCTGTTATCGTTGCTTACGTTCTTTTTTTTTTCAGAGCAGCGCTGTGTGATTTGTTTGTCAGCTGCCTGGGGGCCAGTGGCAGGATGCAAGGACACAAATTGTTTATCGCTAGTTTAGCACGCGCGTTTTAGCTCACATTCAACATTAACTACAATTTATTGATCAGGTTCTTAGCCCTTTTTGCGCAAAATATTATTTTGTATTGCTCACTCGCTCGCTCGCGCTGCTTTACTGCCTCGGTACTGGCGCAAACACACACACAAACTCATCTGCACAAGGCACACACATACGCACACAACCAAGCTATCCACACATACACCAATATATACAGAGAATACGCACTCGCAAGCACACATATGCATGCGCACGCAGCGACGGCAACCCGTTTTACAATTGAGTGTTGCCAGATAGTTGGCACATAAAATAAGCCACAATATTTTTAGAAATAGTTTTAACGCAAGTAAGCAAACCAAAAAAATTGTTAGTTTAGTAATAATTGTATATTATTTACGTCTTGTTTACATTAGACATTTAATAATTCCACACCCCGATGACTATATAAAAAAAGCGCGCGATAAGTCAATATACAGCTGGTAGCACGGCAAACAGCTGTTAGGTTGTGCGACACTGCTGGCACCAGGGCTGCAACTGCATACAATTCTGGCGCTCGATTAATTAATTTGAAATAACGATTATTCATCAATTTCATACGTGCTTAGGTGACCGTAAACAGCTGCTTGTAATTTGGTAATTAATTTAAGTACTTAAGTAAAGTACTCAAAAGTGATTTTGCAACATTTGCAAAACAACTGACTGTTTTAAAACGCTAAAATACCGTTTGACTTGTCAACACATATTTAAGTATATACAAAAAAGCTATAAAAACGAAAACGTTTAAAACAATTGCATTTTAGAATTGCAATTTAAAATAATAATACATTTACAGATGTCGTCTAATTGTACCGTTGGTCATTTTACTTTCAAACACATTCCATTGTGCCTCTAATTTCTGACACTCGCTTCATTGACCCAGCCCACAAAACGCCGCGCTGTCTGTGCGAGTCATACTCTGCAGAAATACAGTGTGAGAGAGACGGAGAGGGATAGGATGAAGGTGGGAGCGAGAGCGAGAATGAGGAGACTGGCCGACTAACTGACTCAGTGCATGCCATTTACCGTTGCGGTTGTTGTTTTGGGCAACAACAAAAACGAAGTTGGCGCCGTTTGGTCAGAAAATTTTAAGTAAATATGTATGTATGTATGTATGTATGCATGTATAAGTATATCTGCAACTAATTGTATGTATTTGCACTGTACGTATTGTACATAATTATTACAATTGAGATTTAAGTGAAAACATTTTAAGCCAATGAGTAACAATATTGAAACCTTGTACTGGCATCTTGTTGAATCAAATCAAATAAATATCAATTAAATGTAAGCAAGCAATTTGATAGATGCTAATGACTGCAACGATATGGTATGTATTCTTTAAAGAAATAATTTAATTTTGCAAAATAGATTTACGACTATTAAATATCATAGATTTAAAATAAACAAAACATTTTAATGCCGTAATACGTTTTTTCCAGGTATTTAATTGATTGAAGAACATAGTTATCATAGTTATCTCTACGAAATAGAAAACTATTGCTTTAGTGCGAGGATAGTAAGTTTAGCATGTGAATAATTTCCTCTCTCCTCTTTAAATCAGACGCAGCTAACATACATAAATGTATGTATGTATATGTATGTATGTATATATATATGTGTGTATGCGTGTATGTCTATACAAAATAAGACTGTATGTATGTATGTATGTGTTGAAGACAGACAATTCACTTTTGTTCTTTTTTTTTTTGTGACGGGACAGCTAAACGCTAGCCTAGCTACAGGTTAGCTCACGACTAAACAAACTCGTGCTTTTTATTTATCGCAGCTGATTAAAATGTTTTGTTCCTATTAAATGTTATATATTTTTTGCACTGAGCAAACTGCAAACAGACAGCACATAAAAATATAAATATAAAAAATAAAGCACAGTGACACTGCACTTAAAATGCTAGCTGGAATTGAATTGATGTTGATGCGCGTGAAAGACAGACCGAGAGACAGGCAAAGAGAGAGCAGGAGAGAGAGAGAAGAGGCGCTGATTCAGTTCAAAGTCTTTGAGGTGGACGCGTGAGAGGCACGCAAGCTTAGAAACAAGTACTGAGAAATCGAGAAGTAATATTTTGGCAAAATACTGATTTGTTTGAGAATATGTATATGTATGTGTGTACATTCCGTTCCTAAACACTAATTTGCAATAGCAAACTGCAAATCTGTGCACTCACACTCTCACTGCTTCATGAAAATTTTCGGGTTTTGCAATCGTCTTTTTATTCCGAACGCGATAGTCACGCGAACATCACTAGACGCTTTAAGCTGTCAGCCTAGGCAAGTGAAGCTGCGCCTGTTGCTGCCGCCAGCCACCCACCCGCGTTACAATCATCTCAATCATCTGTGCGCGGGTCCGTTTTATCATTGTACTTCTTTTTTTTTTTTGAGTTGAGCTGAGTTGTGTTGTGCTTGTCATCACTGCGTAAGCACAACTTAAAAATACTTGTGGCGACCATTCAAAGAGGTAATTGACACCGCAACGAGAGCGAAAGAGAGAGAGAGAGAGAGTGAGAGAGGGTGACACAGGCCTGGTGGAAGGTGGGCAGGCAGAATGACGAAAGCGAACAAAGGCGCAAAAGTCGCAAAGCTGAAAAAGCATAAATAAAAAAATCTGGCAACGTCATCAACGTCATTGACATCATCGTGAATTATTGGTTATGCGAGTTCAAAATCGAAACATTAAATAATGGCATTTCATTTCTTGTTATTCATACATACATTTATGCATGCATATGTATGTATGTATATGTACATTCGCATATGCATATCTACTGTATTGGTGTTGTTGCTGTAGATGTTGCTGTTGCTGCTGTTTCCATTTGACATTAACAGCACAAGTCACAGCAAAGACAGCCAACGGGAACGGCAATATTTGCCTGCTGCATTTTAATCAATTCCAATCAGTCGTCGTAGCCGTCTTTTGCTTTTGGGCTTTGACTTTGGCAGCGACGCAAAGGCGAGTGCGGCGGCGGCCGCTTTCTCGTTCTTAATGCCTTCGCGTTTGTTCATACGCAAAATGTGACGTCAGCATGATATATTTTTAGCTCGTCTCATGCATTGCATTTTGTTGCGAATGCCTTTGTATTTGTGTGTGTATTAATTAAAGCTAAATGAGTGCACAGCAGCATCAACAGAAACAGCAGCAACAACAACGACAACAACAACAGCAACAGAAATCGCAGCATAAACGAAAACAGTTAATACTTGCCATGGGAACTCGCAACGGAATGGCATTGAAACTGCGCGTGGGCAAAGGGCAAGGGGGAGGTATGTGAAACGCGAAACGGGACAAAAAAAAAACGGGAGCTGGAATATGTGTGGGTGTGTGCGTGGGAGATACACACACATACATGCATACATAAGCGCTTCAAACGTTGCCGCTGTCAAACAAACCAATTGTTTGGGGGCGAAACTTTTTGCCGTTAGAATCTGTTGCACATGGCCAACAAATGCCTGCCGCCAGCCCGTCGCCACCCAACACCGCCCACTCGATGGCTTTTATGCGGATTATCAGCTAGCAGTAATTTGATAATACAACCATTTTGCGTCTACACCAGCTACCAATATCTACCAATACATGTATATGTATGCATATAAAAAGTATGTACATACATATGTACATATGTATGTGCGTATGTAACATGAGTACAAGCCGATTTGAGCCAAAGCAATCGCGAATTGAAATTCGATCGACATGAACTGAACCATAAATCAAAGCGAATCGAATTCAAATTTGAAAATCATCGAATTTTGTATTTGAAGCTAAGCTCGGTTCACGAACTAACTCCTAATTGAGTTAGCTTAAACTCTGAACCGCACCAACACTCGTGCAGCCCTGGTGCGTATCTATCCATATATGTACTTATGTACATATAAACATTCAATGTATATATGTATATGTATATGTATGTATGTATATAATTGTGCATATACGCGAATGAGTATTTGTTATCATTTTTGTTTTGGAGGCGGCAGCCCTTCCCCATTTCCGTTATCAGCGTCGCTGTATTACGTTGAACGGCAGGCAACAGCATAGAAAAATCAGCTCAACTTCGCAGCTTAATTGGAGCCGGGACTAAGGGAATAACGGAATGCGAGCATTCCGAGTGTACAGTATTTCAAATATTGACAGATTCATGCGATATAATAAATATCACACATACATACATACATACATACATAGGTGAATCTACAAATTTACGATACGATCTTGAATTCCAAACGCCTCAAATGCGAAATTCCTCTAACTTACTAACGCGATGTGATACGATCGATGATGTAATGAAATATCTCACAGAAACAAAACCAATTAAACAGCTGTTTGGGTAAATACATAGATAAAATAACGGTTGAATGAAATAAATGATTTGAGCGTCGACTGTAAATATATTTTTCGAATAGTATCTGATTCAATCTTAATTGTGCAAAAGTTTCTCCCTCCAGATACTAGCTTAGTTTGATTTTAAATTGGATGTTCCATTTCTCAGCAATTTATCAAGTTAAATATTCGATCTACGATAAGGTGACAATTTAGTAGGCTTTTAAAATAATTCTTTGATTGGGCTCCAGCGCGTGCCCATGACTAATGTTTGGTGCGGGTCATAAATTGTTAGAACACCTCACTTATCGGGTATATCAAAACGTCAATTATCTGCATTTAAAAGGGGCGTACTATTTTAGGGAACACCTTCATAGAATACCTCATTCTAGATTTAACTGACATTATGCTAGATAGAGTTTTACTATATCTATGACTAACCTATATTTTATTATGTCATGTTGTGTGTCATATTCCTCTGTATGTATGTATGTCTGTATACCATATTGAATGTACTACCTGTATATAATTGAATGTATTTACATTGCCTTGGGTTACAAACTTAACGTGACTTTTGAATCTCCATGGAAATTAATTTCTCTATAACTTGTCTCATCATATCGTTCATAGAAATTATTGGTCTCAATTTTCTGCATTATTCTATTTTCAAATTGGATATATGTATGTGTATATTTGTATATATGTATAATATAGTATATTGTATATGTGCTATCCAAGTTGGATACGCTGTAACGTTTATGTCTTTAGAGGCAGGTTATTATTTTTTTTTATTATTATTGTTTTTGTCGTACATCGTTTTTAACGTTTCTTGTTTACAATTTATGGAATGGAATGGTTTCTGCTCTCACTCAAAAATAATTTTAATGTATGAAGAAATATATATGAAAAATTTATAATATAAGAAGGAAACTTTTTTTTTTTTTTTTGTAAAAATTGGAAATCAAAATTTGTTGAAGCTTATTTCAATTTTATTTGAAAATATTATTAAATTTGTGCTGAATTTTTAAAAATGACCGATTTTTATATACTTTTTTGACGTGCTGTTCACGTAAATTTAAATGCACATTTTAAATAAATATAACTTTTTAGTATATTCACTTTTTTGTTGCATTATTTAAGTGAATAACCTTTCATAAATTTAATATTTAATTAGTTTTAATGAACTTGATGTAGTTGAAAATGAGTTAATACTCCCGATAAGAGCTATTAAGCGTATACTTCTGTCTAGTGTCGTTGCCACACCCCCACACTCGCCTCTTATCATATCTTACCCGCTAATGTTGTTGTTGTTGTTGTTGTTGCTGCTGCTGCTGCTGCTGCCGCTGACTAATTACAACAAAATTCGCCACCGAGAAGAGAAAAAGCTAAAATTTTCGCGTAACAGCCACAAAATTTGTAAAAATATTTGCAAGCCGCTTAATGAGATGTTTTAACAACAATATACATCAATAAATAACAAAAGCAATGACAAAAAAAAGAAGCAAGAAACGAAAATAAATAAATAACGTAAAAGAAAACAAACAGCTTTTGCCGTTGCCGTTGCTGTTGTTGTTGTTGTTGTTGTTTTTGCTTTAGTCGTTGAGTTTGCTGCGCGTTTTGCGCTTTTTGTTTTTGTTTCGCTTTATTTTTTGTTTTTGATTTCTTTTCGTTGTGTTGCGATTACGTCAAGATTTTTGTTGTTTCGCCGATTTGTATTTGATTACAATACATTATATGTACAAATTATATACATATATGAATATAGATGTATATGTATGCATGTTCATGCGTATGTATGTACATATGTTTGCATGTATACAACGTGCAGTTGCTGTTGCTTTTGCTGCTGCTGCTGTTGTTGTTGTTCTCGTTAACCGTTTGGCGCTCTCCCTATTGGAATTGCGCGTGCGAGCAAGACAGCGGCTATAATTACTTGCTTAACTTCTTACACAAATATTTCA